GGACACAGGGACAGAGAAAATTAGTGGGAGACTGCCGAGAGCATCCCCAGCCAGGGTGGTCCCTGCTCGGCAGCAGCCCGTCTGCGCCTGCCTTCGGCTGTGCAGGAGAGATCCTCCGTCCCTGGGTGCTGCTGCAGAGTAAACCAACACAGGCGGTGACTGCGGATTTCATGGCGACCCGGACTAAATGCTTCTGTTTCCAGCAGGTTTGCGTCCAGAGGAGCCAGGTTTGCGTCCATTTCCAGTGCAGCGCCAAGCAGGTTGCTGCAGCTCAGTGTTCGCATTGCCAGAGCATTTAAAATGTGGTTTTCCAGAACCCCATTGCAAATGGCTTCTCCTTTGCAGGAGCGCGGGGCACAGAGGACGACAGCTGGATTCACCACTGCGCTGTAACCTTTCTCCAACGGAGGGGAGATAGATACTTTCAGACAGGCCCCCAGTTATGCTTCGGGAATGGGGATGTTGTGACGCTTGCTGCTCTTGCTGGGAAGCAGGGATCAGAATTAGCAGTGACTGGCGGGGAGGGATTAAACTGTTAAATGGTCCCAGTGGTTTCTGGCTGGGGCTGATGGCAATTATACTGACAATACCTGTCACGTCCATGGAGCGTGGTGTAAATGCCAGGCTGATCACTGAAGGTTGTATCTGTATGTTGCATCCTGTCATAAATCCTTGTAGCTTACAACAACGTTATTTCCAACAGTGCTGAGCTCTGAGCGTGGATATAAATCCCACATCGTGTTTAACACGCCCGTGTCTGTTGGGAGCATGCCCCATCACTACGCCTTTGGTGGCAGGGCAGGATCCACTCTGCTCTTACCGGCGGGCTGAGCACTGCGTACAGCGTGTCACTTGTGCCGCTGGCATCGTCCCAGGCTGGGTGGGTTAACCCCGGCTGCAGCTGTTTTGCTGTGGCCGATGGCACAAGGGCCGTACCCTGCTCGGTCCCCAGGCAGGCGGGTTGGTTTGAGGTGTTAAACTGTGCAGAACCGCTTTGGGCATCGCGAAGAAGGGAAGAGGAGGGCAGCCTGTACTGCCCCGGCATCACATTCGGATCCAGGGCTGCGATCGCCATGATTTGGCTTCAAGCTGTGATAAACTGAAGCTGGAGTTTTAAATAGATAACACATTAACTCCAAAACCATGGGAATTTAAAGTCTCTCTTAACACCGTTGATGTCCTTGAACAGCCTCTGGCGTTTTCTGGGGTGAGCGGGGGTGAGCCTGGGCTCCTGGCTTTAGAAACCACAAGGCTCGGGTTGGGCGATACGTGGGAGGTCTCTGACACAGAACCGAAGAGTTTAGGCGTGGATTTGGTAGGTGCCTATGTGTCTTATTGTAGTTTCTATGACTTAATTAGATTGGTTGGTTTGCCTCTGCCTTTCACAGGTGTAGAGAGATTATCATCCATCCTCTGGGATAATGCGAGGAAAAGTCCTGCAGTGAATTTGTTTCAGGGTTGTGGAAACCAAGGGTTGCTTCTGCAGACCAGCAGCTGGTTCCTACTGGCCATTAAAACTGCCAAACTTGCACGATGAACATTTTTAACCTCTTTCTTTCAATTACTAGTGCCCATTAAAAATTATTCCTTGTTCACAGTTTATGGGTAAAAACCCCCTGTCTTCTGCAAGATGTTTTTCTTGCAGTTGAGCAGTCACCAGGGGTTAGAGTAGGCACATCCCCTGCAATGCCTTCAGTGATGGGCTGGTTGCCATGCTGGGTTCCACTCAGCACCTGATCTACATGATTTTTTTTAATTTTTATTCTTTTACTTTAGCAACTGTTACGCCAACGTAGATAATCTCTGCAGGGCAACCAGAGGGAACTAATGTCCTATGCGGGTAGATGTATGAAAACATCTAATTTACCAGCAGGCAGTGGGGTAATGATCAGTTGAGATTTGCAAATTATGTACGTCATATATTTGTGGCATGCTGCTGAAGAAAAGCCCAGTGCATATGACAAATCATATATATACTAAAATTTATAATACTTTTCACATTTAATCGACTGGGGCAACCTTGTGATTTATATCTTTGCTTTATTCATAGCACACCCATAACACAGTCATAATGCAGAACGAAACTAATTCAATTTCTCTTTGACTTTGTAAATCATTTATATATTTGGCTGTCAAGTATTTGAATATAAAGTGGGCACACATACGGCAGAAAATAAATAGCTGCTTCTCTAGTTAAAAAATTGAGTTTTAATGATGTTAGGTTCTGTGTTGCCCTATTTGGATGTTCGGTCTTGCTTAGATAGCGTGCCTTACATTTGCCCCTTGCCTTATTTCACAAGCAAAGTATATTTTATGGGCACCAGCATTACTGTCCTAATGGCCCTATATAGCGTTATGACTGTGTAAAATGTACTCTGCTTGCTTTGACGGCAGCAGGAGCCCTTCCCAGGCTGAGGAGCAGTAAGTGCCTGAGCTGTTGGGCTGCTATTCCCTGTCACTAGAGATCTGCTGGAACGTGCCAGCAGGACACGAAAGGAGTGCAGAAGAAAATATTCTCTTGGCCATGACAGTGACCACTTTCCCGAAGATCAGTTTTTGCCATGGAGCTATCATGCAGAGTCATTGTAAAAAACAGCCTGGAAAGTTGTGGGGTTTTTTCCCCTTTAAATACCAGGTTACCTGGCTTGGCATCACTAATTAACCTTGGGAAGCCCAGCAGCATATAGCCCTGGAAAGGAGTACCTTACCCACTCGACCACAACCAAGGAGGCTGCTTAGGGTGCTTGTTGTCTCCTAAGAAAAATAATCTTCTGCAGTCAGATCCTTGTTTGACATGGTTTTTGACACCTGTAGCATCTTTGGAAAACATCTGCAAAATCAAGATAGTGCAGAAAGTATGAGGCAGTTTGCTGGCTCATTATCATACTGCAAAAACAGCTCTCCTCCACAGCAGCACCCTTGATTTCTAAATTTAGTGTGAGAGTTATTTTGGGTAGCGTGTGATTAACCTCAATTACTGTAGCTCGGATTGAATTCAAGTAATGCCCCCTCTTTCAGAGTTGCAAAGAAATGGAAATCTGGGACTGTACATTTCCTACCCTTAATGAAGCAGCTCTGAGAGACGCTTGCACATTGGTGGAGGTCAGTTGTGTGATGCATTTGTTCATGGAGAAATTACTGGGGGCAGCTGATCCTGAAAGGTGCTGGTGGTCCATGGCTCTCTACTGGTTTTGGGATCAGAATATAAAGATGAAGGCAGCAGGTTATGTGGTGCAGCTGGTGTGAATGGCCGCAGCAGAGATCACTGATTTGCATCACAGTCAGGACACTTTGTAGTTCTTCTGCGTTAGTTAAATCTGTAACAGAGGCTTTCAGGAGCTAACAGAAAATATACTTTCCCTCATCTCAGCTGTAATGAATGTCGGGTCTCTGGAAAATCATTGGTGGTGAAGCAATATGCAAATACACGGCTGCGGGCGTGCAGATCTGTGCGAGCGGGTGCGAGAGAGGGGACATGCAGGGTGCGCAGGCAGAGAGCCGGCCAAGAAGGTGCTGTGGGAAGTGGCAGGTCTGGGGGGAAAGCGGCGTGTTTCAGCCCATCCAGGGAGCACTAATGGAAGAGTTTGTTGTCCATCAGGCTGAGAATTGAAACTTTTGTCATCGCTGTAGCTGTAACTTTCCAGACTATGCTGCACCAGCCAAGTCTTTCTGTCAAGCAGTTTGTCTCCAGAGGAGCATAAACCCAGGGAGGTGGTTAGCACAACCCCAAGCCAGCGAATAAAGCTCATTTACGTGTAGCAGTCAGCGGGAGAGCTAACGTAAAGCGGCTTGTGGCAATTGCATTTGCTGGTAGCCAAAAGGGGCCGATACTTTGAAAACAGAGGCAGGATTTGGATGGAGGAGCCATCCCTCCTGTCTGAAGCCACGTTTGCACAAAGAGGTGAACCAGAACCGTGAGGTTTTGCACCAGGTGGAATTTGGGCTTGTGCCTCCTGGGTGGAACGGCGCCGTGACCACCCTGCTGCAGCATGTTTCTAGCCTTGTGCCATGGCCAAGATGACCCCAAGGAGTCTAAGGAGTAGTTAGATTCTGGAAAGCAGCTATAAAATTACCACTTCGTTACAGCAGCTGTCGACTTCTTTGAGGGCTGTTTTTGATTTTGTGCTTTTTTGTTGTTGTGTAATTTATGCCTGTGTATTCCCACTAAAAAAAAAAAACCTGGACCTGCCCTGAGTCCTACCAATGGGAAACTGTTCACAGCAGTCACTGTGTGTCTTCCACGTGTACAGTAATTGCTTGCTTAACTGGCAGAAACAACATTTTACCCTCAGAAGACATTTCAGGGCCAGGCAGACACCAAACACTGAACCACAGGGCTGTGGGCAGTGTGTTGCAAAAATAAAATAAATCAATCAATCAATCAATCAATCATTTCTGCTGCAGGAAAACCGGTTGCATGAACCAGGTGGTAATGTGGCAATGCAGCAATATGGAAAAGGCAAAGGAAATAAGCAAATACTATAGCTGTGCATTTCTCCTGACCTGCTTGTGGCTTCTTCTGGCTTTTTCTAGGTGGCAAGCAGGGGTAGGAGAGTGTTTGGCTTGGCAATCTGGAGCTGCAGTGTGTCCTGCCCCAGCACAGGGGGGCTGTGGCTTCCCGAGCACCAGCGAAGCGATAGCCATCTGGAGGGCACCCTGCTTTTCAGGGGTTCGGATAGTCACCGGCAAGGCTTGCTGCCAGACTGGTGCACAGGGCAGAGTAGGTGTAAGACCTCGGGTGAGGATGCTCAGCCCTGGGTGACAGCTGGGCAGGCATCAAAACAGCGTCTACACAGTCCTCTGGTGGTGTCCATCCTGGGACCTGGTGACACATCGTGTGCGTCCTCCTTTGGGGGGGGTCTGTCCCAGAGCAGGGCCCATCACCGCTCTCTCTATGCTGTACCTAATTGATAAGGTGATACAGATGGTCAGCCTGGAGAGCTGAACTGCTTGTAAAGTTGCTGCATTTTCACCTTGATTTGCTTTTTGTTTTTATACAGTTGGACAACCCAGATGAGCAAGCAGCACAGATCAGACGCGAGTTGGACGGACGTCTTCAAATGGCAGAGCAAATTGCAAAGGTAAAAAAGAAAAAAAGTCTTCTGTATTAACAAGCTCTTTATATAGAAGCAGATAAGTAGTTTGATGCAGCCCCCAGATCTTGTCCTTCCCTCACAGGTTTCTTCTCCCAGTAATCACTAGTTAAAAATGAACAGATTTTTAACAACAAACAAAGCAACAAGTACAGATGAAGCTGTTGTGATGTGCATTTCTTGGAATGCCCTGATGAGCTGGGACGGTTTAGGTACCTGCAAAATCCCTTACGAATCCTCAGCCGTGGGGAAGAAATTGTCCTGAAGTGCTTCAGCTAGATCTGCAAGTGCATGTCTGAGCCCTCTGTCAAACTTCTATGCTAGGCAATCAGGTGGGTGATGGCATGTAAAAAGGAGCCCTGGAAGGGATTTGTGCCATTCGATGGGCTGCTGGGAGCCACAGTTCCCTGTCTGTAGGTAGATGCTGCCTCAGTAAAAGTACTTGAGATGTGCTGTCCCAACCACGTTCATGCTTTGCACGAGAGCAGTCAGGCTCCATGCAGACATCACTGCTGCCTGGAGCAGCGGACACGGGACCTCCAAACAGTTTTCATAACCAAGCACTCAGCTGAACTCCCCAGAGACCCTTCTGTAAGGAGGCACCTCCCTAGGAGCTAATCACACCCTCACACTGCAGATTTACATGGCCCCCGATGGACCGTAAATGGAGAGAAACTTTGGATCCTGTTGACATCAGTATGGCTGAGATTTTATCCTTGCCTCTAATCAAATGCTCTGAGTCACAGATAAAACCCTAATGGGGCTGAAGTCATTGGGAATGACCTATCTGGCTGTTCTTGATAATCAAGAAACCATTACTAGAAGGAAAAGAAAAAGGTCTAATCAGAGAAACGTAGCTCAGGCTAGGGACCTGCC